TCTTTCTAGTTTACGTTGATTTTAAAAAGATTAAAGAAGAGGAATGGCTTTCTGGAGGCTTTACACTAAAAGACAAGAGATAAACACATGCACTGTACGACCTGCATTGTCCATGAAGAAGAGAGACAAACATATGCACCGTGTGACCTGCATTATCCATGGAATTTCTCCTTTCAGAAGGAACAAATGGGCATTTACAAAGGCAGATTAAAAATGCCATCAGTAACCAGATGCTGGTTCTTGAGGCATTACTTTAATCTGGTAACTACAAGAGAGATCACCGATTTAATTTTTCACCAAATCTCCATTTTTAGATTCAGCTGAAGGGCACTGAAAAATAAACGCTTGTTCAGCAATGCCCATGTATGCCTTTTTGTTTGAAGCATAAGTGGGACAGCCTGGCTAGAGAACTGTCTTAGCTAGTGACCTAAGCTGTAACATTGCTCCTTAATGTAATTTAAAAAGCTCTTATGCCTCATTGCGAAACAGCATTGGCATGTCATGTCAGTTGTTGGGGACAACTATGAAACACCCATGCCTAGTAACAAATTCCTCAACACTGTGGTGGCTTACAACACATGCCACTGCCACCATCGCTCGAAGTCCAAGATCCTTCTCATGAAATCAACAGTGTTAGAAAAGTACTCAGTGGCTTTTTTGGACTTGCTAATTTTTCGTTTTCCAGGATCAATGTTTGAAGGCTAGATTTCTTTGGAAATGCAGTTACACGAATGATTCTGGGGGCAGAAAGTGTGCCAGTGATTCTTTTTTTATTTTACTACAAATAGAAACATGATACAGACTGGCTCAGTGCAGTGATCATTCTGGTCTTAGTCTCCCACCAGAGTGAGCGACAGGATGCAGAAAACGTCCTTTCCATGTCATGGATCTGTTTCCTTGTTTCCCTGCAGTAGTCTGTCCTGGGTCTGTCCCACTAGGTTTCTAGCAAGTCTCCCACATCTTCTCTGGCTCCTAACTTGATGGAATAAGGACAGGGTCACCTTATACATTTTAATGTGTATGACTAATACAGTGCAATTCGATTGATCAACGTCAGTGCTTTTCCTTCCCACGTCTCAGATAACCCCTCCCAGATTTAAAACTCCCATATGATTTAGACCCTGAGCTCTCCACCCATGACATCGTCATCCATGACAACGTCTTATACCAACTTCAGAACAAAGATGTAGCTGTACCATAACACAAAAATCAATTGCTAAATAAGTGTAAGACATCTGCAATAAAAAGTCATTTTAAACCTTGTTGTGTAGCAGTCTACAGCCTGTCCTGTCGGTATCAGTCCAACCTAGGCACAGAACAAACTTTAAGTCACAATTATCATAAAACACGTAGCAGTCATGCTTCAGATCCCGTCAACATTATGAAAAATTTCAACAGCTGTCAAGACAACTGCAAAACTCCACGGCTGGCAGCTCTGCCATCTTTCAAACAAACTTACTTAGGGGATTAGGCTCTGTCAGACTTTCCACGTCTTCATCTCTCACACCCATTTTTCCACAACCTTTTTTGTATCCCCTAGACCACACTGAACTTTGACTTACAGTAAACACGCTGGTGTGACTTCTGACTATACACTTTTTGAGCAGTTGCTAATGATTACTTTTCCCTTTTTAGGGTGCAGAAGCCCACTCCTTATTTTTATTTCTGCCTGAATCAAAGTGACATCTACAATTCACTGCTTCATCCTGCAAGAGCAAATACACTCCAGTGCTAACAGCAATAAACACTGTGGTCTGCTGCTCAGACCTGTAGTGACTGCAGCTTTTGTTAAAAGGCACCATAGGGCCAATGGGCTTACAACATCCTTCTTCATTCTTGTAAACTGTAAGAGTTTTTATTTACACCAAACATGTCAACCTTCCCCCCAAAGAAAAACTCTGCTAAAACGGCTCCATAGTGTGTGTTAAACTTTTATATGGAAAAAAGCAGGACTGTGCTGTGTTGCACATTTTAAAAGATCTCCTTCACAGCCCTTTTAGGGGCTTCTGAACGGGAGTTTTATGAATTCATAACAACATATATGTCAGGCAGACATTGGAATTCAGATTATTTTAACTTCAACTAAAGGCCTATGTTTAAATGTCTGAATGCGTTCCTTTGTGGCTAGGATTTTGAGAGTGTTAAAACTGCAAAGACCATATCTTCATGATAAATATTCCATTCCTTAGTCATTCTTGCGTCAAAGGACTGCTGAAGAGAAAGTCTGCACTAGTGTGGCCCAGAAGGAAGCGGAACCAGAAAGTTTTGTTGCAGAATTAGGAAAGCGTACAACGAATCCCGCCCACTGAGTCTTGTACCTCTATTCTGTATTCTAAGATCTCTGACACCAAAAATGCATAAAAGCAATAAAATGAGTTTTTGTAGTGCTTAAGGATCTATTGGCCTCACGTACTGTTAAGCGGGAGATTTTTGTTGGTTTTTTTTCAGTGTAATACCCAATCCGGATGACTGCTGTGCTCAAAGTTTCTCAGACCTCTGTATTTGCCTAGCTGCTTGTTTTTGTTGACTTCTTAACTGTCAATACGGCCTGTAAGCGCCTGGCTTACTGGACTACTTAGTTTGATGGTTGTTAAGGAAAAGACATTCTCATACAAAGAACCCTGTAATTGTCTCTTTGGAAAACCTTTTTCAAGCACTTGCTAAATACACTAAACGTCTCCATGCGGATATAACAGCAATGCATTGCACAAATAAAAGGGTTGCAATGAGGCATGAGAATGGCTATGTGTTTTATTGAAAGCATGGATGCTTTTTAAAAACGTGACTGCTATTTCTACTTAATGAACCCCTCAGAAAAACAAGAATTTTGATTCAAGTTTTATGATCTAGGCACAGTAAGAACTAGGAGTAGAAGCAAAAAGCATGCTGTCTGCCTTCACCATTGCTGCATTACTAGTAGCTGACTCATCTCTTTCTTGAATCCCCCTGAAATTCTCTGAGATGGCTTATGAATAGAAAGCAATTTCCATTCTGTTCTGTACATGAAGAACTGTCAGCAGTCTGTGGAATTTGAATTTCTCATGTGTAAGCTGATAAAAATACGACAGCAAGTAAGGAGGACGCTGGTTAAGGCAGGGCTCAGCTAAATCATTTGACTGTTCCTCAGTTTGCCTCTGAAACGTATATGAAGTACGTCAGACAACCCCATTCTGGTTATCTGCCATGCCTGAGGCCCACCAGCCAGTATTAAGCAAAGCCTTTTAATTAACACTAAATTGTAAGAAAATGTTACTACAGAAAATGTTGATTAACATTATGCTACCCAAACATGAGCTATAGGGAACAAAGTTTGTGACTGATTATAGCTCACCTAATATTTGGTGTAGCAAGTACTTGTGACACTTGTTTAGCCCTGGAAATACAGTTGTCTCTGCATCCATCCAAGCCAGCTTTCCAAGAGTACATATTCCTGAGGTTAACACTAAAACCCATGTGTAAAATTTCCATTCTGTTACAGTCATTCAGTTCTTCTGCCCTTCCTTCTCATTCTCCCAGAGAATACGCGGACAAATAGCATCTTACCTTCAATAAGAAGCTTTAATTCTGTGCTTTTCTCCATGTTCAAATGAAGATTTAGCAGCGACCCAATTGATTAACAACATCTCCTTTCCCCTGACATTATATGAGATTTAAATAACCATAACTGATATTTTTGAATTGGTTTCATCTTGAAGGATTCCAGTCCCCTTTCATAGCCCAGCAGTGCCTTAATTATTCTTGCACTAGGAAGTTGATAAGGGCAGTTCTTGGAGAGAGAAAAGCCTTTTTAATGGTTCGTCCCTGGAGATGCTTGATTCCAAGTTCACTTTGAAGAACTAGTTCATGGACTTCTTCAAAATTGCGGGCTGCTTGCTGAGGCACACTAACTTTGCCACAAGCTTTGTTATTGATCTGAAAAATAGACATGACAACAAGAAAAGGGAGAAGTTACTAGGCTGATTTATACAATTTCATCTCCCGAGCCTAATCAATCTTGGAACATATGGGGGAAAAGTGGATCAAACTCTCTTTCCTCTTACATCAATTTCTAAATAGAGGATAAAAATCTCCATGCCTCCTGTCCTCCTGCCACACAGTGAGGGAACAAAAATCTGATTCACAATACTCATGGAAGCTTTAAGAAGCAGCAAAAGGAAGTTTTATTTCGGAACACAGCAAGCGTCATGGGACTATGCAACGCTGTGATCTACGTCTGAAAGCAAGATGGTTGCACAAGCTGAATAAAGAGTCAGCGAACGTAATGTCTGTCAGGTGAAAATTTTGATTTGCACACGCTTCTAGATTGCATTTTAGATTCTTTACAGCTAAGTGATTTGCCATAGAAATGAAAATGCAAGGTCTTTTAAAGTAAAAACCATTTGTGGTTGAAAAGATACATCTGAAGGAGACTCATCACAACCCGTTTTTATAAAAACAGGCATTAACTCATTATGTGTTGCATTCTTAGTAAAAGCATGATTCATAAAGCTAACACCGCAACCACAAAGAATACAACCCCTCCAAGGTAATGCTTTCCTGTGTTTGGTTGTTTTTCAGAGCAGCTTCCATACCGATTTCCAATCAGCAGGGCAGAATCATATAAGTAAAACAGTAAGGCTGCCACTGGGAAGCATCTTAATTTGTAAAATAGCCTCATGAGCGCATCACTTTTCTATCATCCAATAAAAGCAGACAACGGGTGGAAAGTACAGAGCCCTACTGAGTACCTTTCTGGAATTAACATAAATTCATTAATTATCACAAAAGCTTTCAGATTTATATGGAGTATCTTCAGTGGATTAACGAAGGACATCAAACCCTACATTTTATCAGATTAAACAGTTTGATATTTGTATCCAGTTCAAATTAGTTGCGGGCATAAAAAGCTGCTGCAAGTACTGCAGATCTTTGCCCTTTAGGCACCCTTGTACCTATTTTTCAGTCATCTAAATGTAACGTGTTGCTTCATACAGCTTGGACATAAAAACGCACACAGCCTGGTTTTCCCCTGAATTTCATCCAAGATACATATACATGATGTGCTCTCCACAAACAAAAGAAATATACTTCACTTCCTGGTTTGCATTTTATTTTAAATAAAATAATCTGTGCCATTCTCAGAGAGGAAGATGGAGAGCTTTTTAAGGAACAAGATGAAGTCTTAAATGCAGCTGGGATGAGTCATTTCTGTTTTTTGACTAGTCAGAACACTAATTTGCAGTGATAATGTAGGTAGGCTTTCAACCATTCTTATATGCATCCATAACTCAGTATCACAAAGGGCTGTGTGTTAAACCTTGCCTTAAGTACCTTCCTGCAAAGCAAATCCTTCAAAAAAAACCACACACACGCACCACACTTCATTTTTATAGCTTTTATTAAAAATAAATGCAATTGATTAACAAAAGTAGTTCTTTTTGACAGGGTGCTTCAAGGAAGAAGTACTCCACAGAAAAAAAGTAAAATCAAAACTGATATGGTTTTAGTAAGCATATAAAGCAAGCTTATGAGCTTGCTGCTGGGGTACACAGCTTCTAATGCAAAGCTATGCCTGGTTAGTTAAAAAATGACATTCACTGTCCTCCGTGATACAAGCTGATACGGCCCACTGGACAGATGTTGGCAGGGGGGAAATTGCCACAACTAGCATATTTGGTGCTCGTCTCAGTAACCAACCGGTCTAAATCAACACAGCAAACACACGACTCCTGGCAGTTGTGTTTTTCTAGAAAGGCTGAGGAGCTGAGGTGACCTTGCACTGTGCACCTTCCCACAGTAACCGTCCTAATCTTCCCACATCCCACTGTGGGCAGAGTCTGCAAATTGAACCAAATGGCAGACTGCTTATGATCTCAGCATATGCATTTGCAGAACGGTTTTCCTTATAACTCAGGTGTCCTGATCCAAAGTCAAGTGCATCGACTCCATTCTTAAAAAAAAAAAAGTTATCGGCAGATCTGATGATGCACCATGTGTGACAAGCGTCCCACTCGCATTTGTTTTTGAAAGGTGAAGATTCCCATCAGGACAAATGTCTTCTACTGTCTTCATCTCTCTCTATATCTCACTAGACCAGCATATGCCCTCATCAGCTCCAGCTAAAAGTGCCAGTACAAGACGTTTGGGTCCTATTAGTCTTGTTTCTCTGAAAAACCTCCGTGCCAAACTGCAGGAGGAAACACAAATGAGGCTTGGGTTCTTCCCTCCCTGGGGAAGGAAACTGTTGACTTCCCTTCTGTTTTGTTTTTTGTTTTTTTTTTAGTTTTTTGATTAAACATTTGACATTCTAAACTACTTTGGCTCTAGAGGGATTGGAAAGCTAGAGAAACTAAGAAGGATTAAATGAAACTACAAAAGACTGAAAAATAAGCACCTGGATGTTGTAGAGAGGAATTTTTAGTTGGACTCAAACATTTTTTAACAGCCTCAATGAACCATAATCCCGCTGAGAAATAAAAAGGAAAACAAATCAATATCTGTGCACTTTTAGGCCTTCCTCATACTCCAAAGCAACAAAAATGACATGAACTCAGTTTATTTTTTTTTTTAACATAGTTGTTAGACAAGGGTTGTGAATAGTTCTGCACAGCCTAAAAAACTGATAAATGCTGATCACAAGTGTGTTCATAGGATGAAAGAGTACACTCTTCACACTACATTTATGTCACTTTTTTTTTTTAACAGCAGCAACAATATACGGTATGATGTGATACAAGGGCAGGCAAATTACAAATATTCAACCTTGCAGTAACATCTAGAATAGCAGATACATACACATAGCCAGTGAATTTAAGTGTTTTTCCTGTAGGCAATTTATATTTTATCAGCCAAGGATGCAGTGACTTGGTTTCTTTTGCGGCTTGGGTTAAAAATGGACAGACGCAACTCCAGCATAGACAGGAAATAATGAAGTATCTTGTGTCAAGGGAAATAAAACCATAATGTCTCAGCAGGCAAACTGCTGGCAGCCTGAGGCAGTTTGATGTCTTGAGACGAATAGGGCTATGGCCCAACAGACTCAGTTTCACTGCGCAGTGTGAAGAGACATTGTCTCTTTTCAACGAACCAATTCCTCCTTATTTTCAGTGCTTCTTGTTTTAATGAGGGCAATTTATTTTTACAGCCATAAAAACCCTACAGTTTTCACAAGGCTTTAACACTTAAAAATATTCATATTTACAGTGATTTTTCACTGCTTTTCTATATTTCCCTTTTACCCTACTCCTACAGTGGAAAGCCAGGCACTCCCACAGGTGCTATTTTTAAGAATTCCTCCCAGTTCTTAACAGGAATTATATTGTATCAGCCAAGGATGCAGTGACTTGATTTCTTTTGCTACTTTGGATTAAAAATGGACTCTGGTCTTTCATTCACTTGCTTCCTTGGGCCTAAAGAAGGTGTTTATATACATCGTATTCTCCCATGAGTAGACACTTGTTTGAGCACAAGGGGCTGCTCTTTTTCTTAATAGAGGACTTTTGTATACAAGACTTTAGCTTAGAAGCTTTGACATAAAGTGAACTAGGAAAGAAAACAAAAAGAATTTTCATAAGGGCTGTTTAAAGCAAAATTAATTTTTAGTTTTCTGCTCTCTTCCTCAGAAAAGGAAGTGTTAACATCAGGAAAGTAACAGTGAAATGTTTAGGCATTTTTAACACAGAATCACAGAATGGTTGAGGTTGGAAGGGACCTCTGGAGATCATCTAGTCCAACCCCCCTGCTCAAGCAGGGTCCTCTAGAACACATTGCCCAGGATTGTATCCAGATGGCTTCTGAATATCTCCAGGGAAGGAGACTCTACAACCTCTCTGGGCAACCAGGTCCAGTGCTCAGTCACCCTCGCAGTAAAGATGTTTGTCCTCATGATCAGATGGACCTTCCTGTGTTTCAGTTTGTGCCCGTTGCCTCCCAGTGGCTGGGCACCATTGAGACACCCTCCCTTCAGATACTTGTACACATTGATCAGATCCCCCCTGAGCCTTCTCTTTTCCAGGCTGAACAGTGCCAGCTCTCTTAGCCTTTCCTCCTTAGGAGAGATGCTCCAGCCCTTTAATCACCTTAGTAGCTCTTCACTGGACTCGCTTCAGGGAGCTCCATGTCTCTCTTGTACTGGGCAGCCCAGAACTGGACACAGTACTCCAGGTGAGGCCTCAGCAGGGCTGAGTAGCGACCCACCCGGTCATCCCATCACAGAAGGCTATCGGGCTGGTTAAGCGTGATTTCCCCTTGGTGAATCCATGCTGACTACTCCTGATCACCTTCGATAATATCCTTCACATGCATGGAGATGGCATCCAGGATGAGCTGCTCCATCACCTTTCCAGGGATTAAGGGAGGCTGACTCATCTTTAGTTCCCTGGATCCTCCGTCTTGCCATTTCTGAAGACTGGAGTGACATCCCAGTTCTCAGACACCTCTCCTGATTGCTATGACCTTTCAAAGATGATCGAGAGTGGCCTAGCAAGGACATCCAAAAGCTCCCTCCCTTTTATATTCAGTTGTGTGGTCTTAAAAACATTCAGTTCAGAATTTCCCCTCTATTACTGAAATCTTTAGTTTAAAGATATATTTAATAACAAGTTTGCTTTAACCACAGTTGCAGAGAAGTTTCTAATTACACAATATCTCAAGTTTGTAACTTCCTCAAAAACTGAACACTAGAATTTAAAATGCTTCC